TCTTCTTTGTTGGTATTGTGCTAGACTGGGCTTTTATTATCTCACTTTTCAAAATTTCCTAAGCTTCTTGAGTTGTTTTCCCTTTGAGGATTCTCATCCATGGAATCCTTCCCAAGCTCTCTCTAAGTTTATTGAAATTAGCTCTCTTAAAGTCCAAGACTCTTGTTTGACTGTGTTCCATTGCTTTGTAGGGGTGCTCAACATATTTGACAATCTCAGTGATATGTGAAAACCAGTTTGGTCTAGTGGTTTTGGAACCAGGTTAAAAACCAGAAGAACTTGAGTTCTAGTCTATTCTTAGGTATAAAGCCAGCTGGGAGATCTTGGGGCATTCCTTCTCCCTCAACCCTAGGAAGTAAAAAGCAATAGCAAAACACTTGCCAAGAAAACTGCAGGGACCAATCCAGACAGTCACCAAGACTCAAGACTGACATGAAGGCACCCCTCACCCAAATCAGCAGATTTGCTTTAGATCATGGGCTATATTACAATATGGAAGTGGAACAAGAACAGAGAATTCAGAAGGACAAAGTCAAACATTAACAATATTTTATAATTTAATTTAATGGTAACAAGATATCAATGTTATGATGTCTTCTTATATGTTTTATAATGTATAGGAGAAGAGCCATGGTAGTCTATCATACTCCCTGCCACCACCACCACCCCAAAAAAAATCAGGATTCTTGGGAGTACTTTTTCCAATGAAAAATCTTTTAGGTCTTTTATTAAAAGGCCTAAGATTTCATATGCTGCAACAGTTGGAAAAGGTACTCCCAGATTCCTGATTACATGTATTTTAATGATTTCATTTCCATGGGGGTTACATATTTGGGCTGCAAAAATCTGGAGAACCACTAATAGCAGCACTGAGATACCTAATACCTCTTTCCTGAAACCTTGTGATGGTCTGGATTTTGGCAGCTCAAATATGGTAAGCCTGTTCCTTCTGGTCGCATTAAAAGTTACAATACTGGCAATTTGGGGAAGTGTTTTGAAGGCTACGTCCATGGCTTTTAGATGCCCGGTTTAGTTTCAGGGCCTCAGATTTTGATATTCAATGTCTACTGAATATGAAGAAGAGTTGCAGGAATTTGGTATGTCTAGTTTAATGAAAAGAAGAACTAGGGGTGATATGGTATCAATGTCGCAATATATAAGGGGTGCCACAAAGAAGAAGAGGTCCACCAATTCTTCAAAGCACCTGAAGGCAGAACAAGAAGCAACGGATGAAAACTAATCAAGGGGAGAACCAACCTAGAACTAAGGAGAAATTTGGACAACCATTTATCTGTAAGGATATAGGGTTTCCTGCCTGAGCAGGGGGTTATAATAATAATAATAATAATAATAATAATAATAATAATAATAATAATAATAATAATAATAATAATAATAATAATAATAATAATAATAATAATAATAATAATAATAATAGTAAAGTTGGAAGGGACCTTGAAGGTCATCTAGTCCAACCNAAAAACTTCCAGTGTTGGAGCATTCACCGCTTCTGGAGGCAGGTTGTTCCACTGGTTAATTGTTCTCACTGTCAGGAAGTTTCTCCTTAGTTCTAGGTTGCTTCTCTCCTTGATTAGTTTCCACCCGTTGCTTCTTGTCCTGCCTTCAGGCGCCTTGGAGAATAGCTTGACTCCCTCTTCTTTGTGGCAGCCCCTGAGACGTTGGAACACTGCTATCATGTCCCCCCTCTTCCTTCTCTTCATTAAACTAGACATACCCAATTCCAGCAACCGTTCCTTATATGCTTTAGCCTCCAGTCCCCTAATCATCTTTGTTGCTCTTCTCTGTACTCTGTTAGACTAGAAGATCTCCAAGGTCCCTTCCAACTCTGTTATTCTATTCAGTTAAAAAAAAAAGTTGCCCTTTGGCAGGACAGCTTGTAGATGCTCACTGATTTCGGAGAGGGCTCAGAGCCATCAAACCTTCTTCATTTCTTCTTTCTCTTCCTCACACATTCTCCAAGCATCCCTCCTCTATTGCTGGATCTCTTCAGCCACCCTAAAGCTGTTTGTGGGCACACCCTTAGTGTGGTTTTTGTGGGCAGTTTCCTTCTTTGTGCAGTCATGATCTGTTGACCTCTCCTCTCTCGAGTTTCCTGCTTCCAAAGTAATTCCACAAATTATAAAGCCCCACTCAGCAAAACCAAGGAGCAAATTAGAGTTTTGGCAGCGCTGACTTGGAAGGCCACGGGGAAGTTGCAAGCATTCATCTGTTTTGTTGTTTACCAAGCAGAGGTATTTGATGGGAAAGTGAGAGACTGAACCTTTTTGCTGCTTACAATACCAACAGAGAAGAGTTCTGCTCATACTGCTTGCTCAGGAGATAGTAAGTAGAGGAGTTTTTGGAACTGGCAGCCGGATTAAAAAAACCCAGAATAGATGGCAAATTTGTCCAGGGCCCTGCCCTCCAAGTGTTAAAAATTCAGCATTGAAATGTCACCATACTCATTATCGCTTCACGAAATTCTGATTTGTACGTAGGCTCTGATTCACTCATCAGCTGCTAGTTCCTGAGAAGTCTGGCTTTTCTTTTTTTAATGAAATAAATCCTGTCTTTGAGGAGTTATGAATTATCTGACGCCAGAATTGTAAGAAAAGACTTCCATTGACAAAATCTTGACCTGGGTTCCTGACCTACTATTGTTTTCACTATCCAGTTTAGATGCTAGGACTCAACTACAGCTAGATGGGAAGTTGGCCAGAAGACCCAGTTGGCTTTGGATCTGACAGATTCTTGGAAGCAAGGCCACTTAATGAATGAATATCTTAGATCCTAACCATGAGGGGGTAGTTTGCATCCAAATTCTGTTGGCTGACTGTTGGGAAAAATGAGAAAACCTGGAGATCCGTTATGAAAAAAACATGGCTGGGTGGAATCATCAATAGGAACATATTTGAACTTTGTCCAGATCCTACTTGCTACTTCTAATGAGTATATAGATCCTGTATTCTCAGAGCAATCTCTCTCTAAATTCCCGGAAGGAGGTGGAGGGGAGGGGCAGTGGAGTGAAGTTATATTTGTGTCCTTTTTGTGGACACTCCAAAGGTTGATATCTGGCTCTTATCCTGGACTAGATTGTTTGTTTTTCCCCTTTCGTCCAGTCAGTGGCCAAATTTCCTTCACTTTGATTTATAACTAGACTTGGCAGATTAATTTTTAAAAGTAGTAACAAAAAAAGCAGTTGGAAATGGTTCTGTTTATTTTAATCTTAATTTTGGACTTCATCATAATCCACAAGACCTCTCTAGGATAGCGATCATATTGTCCCAACATCTGTCCTCCACAAAGTACATCCAGCAAAATCCTAGGCATAAGGAACATCCTAAAACTCACTAGGAATGTGTTTTTCCCCAGGTGTTGCTGCCTTTTTATGGGCAAATCCACACAATCTCCTTGCCTTGGTTGCAAAATGGTCCACTAACCATTTCTGGAAATACGTCCACGAGCCATCACCTATATCAGTGTTTACCAACCTCAGCAACTTTAAGATGTATGGACTTAAACTCCCAGAATTCCAGACCCATGGTTGGCTGGGGAATTCTGGGAATTGAAGTGTGGCAGCAGCTCAGTACAGACCTGTTCTGGGTCCATGGGAAGGGTGTGCTGTGGGGGCAATCTAATTTCCTGCCTGCTTCAAAAAGTGAGGTGAGGAAGGAGATCAAAGCCAACATGTGGATGTGCTCATACTTATGGGAAACTGTGATTTCTAATTCCGCCTTAGGCATGGAAGCCAACTGGATGACTTTGGGTCAGTCACTCTTTCTCAGCCAAAGGTGGCTGTTGCGAGGAAAATGGGAGGAGGAAGTAATATAGTGTGTGTTTACTACCTTGAGTTATTTATAAAAGTAATCAAGGTGGGATAGAAAGAGAGAGAGAGAGAAAGAAAGAAAGAGGAAGGAAGGAAGGTAAGTAGATCACTATGCGGGGTCCTTGGTGCCCTCTGAGTTCAGTTATTTTCTTGCAGACGTTTCATTACCCAAACTAGGTAACATCATCAGTGTTTAGCAGTGATTAGCATACTGTTAAGCTGTAGATCAGGGGTGTCAAACTCAATTTCATTGAGGGCCGCATCAGCATTGCGGTTGCCCTTGGGGGGCCAGGTGGGTGTGGCCAGGGTGGGTGCGGCCCACTGGGTGGGCGTGGATGTAGTGGGTGTGGCCTACTGGTGGGCATGGCCAGTTCTACGTTGTTCGTGTCAAGGGTGCCTGTGGGGGGCCTGGGCAGGAGTGGGACAGATCTGAGGGTCTCTGGCAGAAGGGGGTGGGACCAGGGCAAGCGCCAAGGCATGGTCCATTTCTTCATTCCTCACAAAGGGTGACACCTCCCCAGCATGCACCCAGGGGGCGGGGCCAACGCGGCAGGGGCTGGTTCCTCGCTGTTTCCAGACGGCCTTGTGGAGCTAAGACTGAATGCGTTTCAGCATAGATGGCCACCACAAAATTGTACATTGGTTCCCGGCCAGTCTGGGCCAGGGCCAAGGCCAAGGCAGCAGGGGCTGTTCCCTCACTGTTTCCAAGATGGCTTCACGGGCCACATGAAACCACTTCACGGGCCGCATCCGGCCCCCGGGCTTTGTGTTTGACATATCTGCTGTAGATGAAGGTACCCAGTTTGGGTAATGAAATGTCTGTGAGCAAACAACCAGGCTCAGAGGGCACCACGGACCCCTCTTTTCAACCCTGGGGTTCAAATAGCCCCCTTTATAAAAGTCGGTATGGCAGCCAGATGGAGGGAAAGGAGTTCATTATAAAAATCTAAGCAGGGAGAATCGTTCAGGGAAAAGGGTGTTCATTTCTTACTGAAGGTGGCTGCTATGATACGGGTGAAGCCCTTTTCACTAGATGTTGAAGTTCGTGTCAAAATGCACATTCCGCTTCGATGTCCCTGTGAATAGATACTTGGGTAAGTGGGTGGGTGAGGAAACCTGGAGATCTAGGTGCCTTCCCACCTTAGTAATTTGTTTTCAATCTTTTTTTCCCCAGTCCTGGTATCTAGGCTAGTTGCAGCTTCCATCTGCATCATCATCATCATCACCATCATCTTCCTTTCCTCCCCCCGGGCTTTGGGCTTCCTTTGAGGAGAACAGTGCAGCCCTCCCACCCTTGGCCCAAACCTTGGGGGCAGCATGGAGAGAGAGAGAGAGAAAGGAAAAAAGAAAGAAAGAGCACGAATTAACATCAACATCATGAAGAGACATCACAGAAGGACAGAAGGAAGGGAAGGGGAAAAAGCTCAAACTTCTTTTTAAAAGATTAAAAAAAAAAAAAACAGAAAAAGACCCTGCTTTCCAGCCATCCCGACTGCGACTTTCCTGAACTGAGCAAAATTCAAGCAGGCAGCTCTCCCAGGGGAGGCCTTTTGACCAGAAGCACTACACGCCTTTCGGAGGGCCTGGTTTTCCCCCATCCTTCCTGCCAGTCCCTGGCCAGCTGGAATTCCTGTCTGTCTCATACTCAAAAGGGATGTATATGCAAAAGTTTCTGATTATCTTCTCCATCTCTTGTGAGTAGAAAAAAAAATAATAATAATCTGGCCTGCTGCAGAACCCTCCCCTCTTCTTCTTTTCTATGCTCAACGCCCTCCCTGCTTCTCCTCCTTTGGGAATGGGGTCAGCGTGACCAAGAGACTGCACTACAAGCCATCTAGACTGGTCAAGCAGCTGAAGACGGGCCAAGGTCGAGATGCAACGTGAGCTAATTTCCCCCCCTCGAGAGAAAGAGAGAGAGAGAGGGAGGAAAAAGTTCAAATGCTGGGCACCTTTTTCAGTCTATCGAATTTGTCCTCCTCTCCCCCCCCACCCCACCCCGGAAATCTCTGTGTTGCTTTCAGAATGGGGGCTTGCGGGTCTCCAGCACTTAACTGACGTGGTGTGAGCAGGACTTCTCTGGTGGAGAAGAAGGGGACACGTGGCTTGTTTTCTGCACTCCTCTCCCAGAATGCTTTGCGCTTTAGTGTCAAAAGACATCCCCCCCCTTTTTTTTTTTTTGAATGGGTTTGAGTGCCAATGGTGTGGGGCGGGGAAAGGGAAGGAGGCGGGTTGGTTTGACGGAGTCTGTTATTGTGGGAGAAGGGAACAGATGCAAGCCACTTAAATTTAACTTTGTTGTTGTCGACTTCGTGCAATCCTGAACCAGATGGTTTGGAATGGTGGCGGGTTTCGATTTTTGTCTGGGGGTGGGGAAGACATTGGAACTTGGCTGTGAATGTTGAAACCACGCATGTGTCGTTGGGTTGGGCTGGAATGAACTCTGGGGGGGGGAAGGGGGGGCGTTTCTTCAAGGGTGGGGTGAGGAAAGGATTTGCTACTACACTGTGTTTCAACAGCACCCCCCAACGCCCCTTGCTGCAACTCTGCCATGACCATAGGTCTGTCTAACCCTTGCCTTAAAGTTGGACCAAGGCTGAGAGATGGGCTCTTTCTCCTCAGCCTGTATGGACTTTTGTCAGCCTGTTCTCTTATGGGGAAGGAATTGCTCCTGGAGGTGGAGTGGGGACATGCACCCACAGCCTGCAGGTTCTCTTCAAAATGGCTTCTGCCCAGCTTTAACATCCTTTCTTCAAAAGGCGGGCAGCCAGTCCGATGAACACCAGCAGGGACCTGTGCGACTTGTCGAATCTCTGATTCGGGTGGGGGGGGAGAGAGGAAGACATTGAGTGGGGGGGGAGGGTGTCAGTGGATCAGCAGGGCTTCGCTTTCTCTCCCCCTCCCCCCACTCCTGAGCTTCCAACTTTGTGTACAAAGAGCTATGCATGCCCTTGTAGACCAGCTTCGAGATGATTTTGATGACTGCTAATATGGATTGCACATTTTTTTTTTGGTAAGAAATGCACTTTTGAAGAGGAGGGAGAGGAGAAAAGCAACCGGGAGGGTGGAGGGATAAGGAAGGTAAATCTAGAGTGTATCTGTAATTTGTGTGGAGAGGATCAGCGTCCAATCCACTGTGACGGGATGGTGCAAAGTGGGGCCTTACGCAGAAACCTTTCAGAACGTGAGGAAGAAAAAAACAAAACAGATTCAGTAGGAGCAGAGGAGGGGGGGATGCCCCCTTCCACCATTGCCCCTTCATAGAGAACTCTATCTCTTCTTGCCCCTAACCCACCAGACATGCAAGCCCCAAGGTGGAGCCTAGAAGCCATCTAGGACTGGTTCAAGTGCCTACATTTTAATGCTCCAGTCCTTTTGCTGAGTTATGGAAAGCGGCATTCGTAATGGAGACTCTCCCCCCCCTCCCCCGGGGCAGGGGCAGGCTGAGCAATGGCACTCCATCCAATTCACTTTGAAACGAAACCCACCCATCCCCATCCCTCCTTCCTAGCAGACACCAAAGCTTTACAGGCCATGGATCAGACTTCCTTGAACTCAGCCAAGATTGGGGTGCCAGAGTTTGGCTCCAAGTCCTCTGTGAGGGCCAGGTGGACAGCTGATGAACTGGTCAGTCCATGTTGGCTTCTGGACAATCTTCCTCCGAAGGCTGGTGCCATCCGCCATGATTCTAAAAGCATTTGTAATGTTTCCTCCTCCGTGTGCCAAACTGTCAAGATTTCAGAGGAATCTCATTGAGGCAGAGGAATCTATCCCAGATGACATCCTGGAGTGGATTTGAATTGGAAAGCAGAATGAGATCAATGAATTGCAAGGGACAGTTCATCGGAAAACCCAAGAAAACATCAGTATCTTCACATGAAATGCTTCAACCACAGACAAATGGATTTGTAGAGCTAACCTAGCCATACGTTGGCCTAAGTCACAGGGGTGAAAAACTATGGCCCTTTTATGACTTGCTGGTTCAGGAATTCTGGGAGTAGAAGTCCACAAGTCATAAAGAGGCCATAGTTCCCCACCTCTGGCCTAAGTCAATGGCCAACTTTTACTCCTTAGAAAGTGGTGGGAATTTAGTATATATCACTAATGGAGTGGCTATCCAGCAGACTTCAATTAGTTAAATGATGGTTCTTTTTTCCAGGGAATTTGCAGGAATTGTAGTCCTTTGAGGGATTTTTAATGGAATTCTTCTCCCCTCATACTACGTGTACCAGGATTCTTTGAGAGAGTATTCACATCTTTTCTTGTAGTTGCCTTTGTACTGTGCTCTATGAAATAAGAAGAAAACATTTCAATCTTCTCCAGGATGGAAAGATGACAAAAATTTGGACAACCAACACTAATCTTCAGTTCTTTGCACCTTGATACATTTCTCTGAACTTCCAAGAGGAATGCATATCCTATTCCATGTACGTGAACAAATACTCCCAATATAGAAGTATAAATTTCTTTCCTAACTTTCAGAGTGAACCTGTTGCCGTGTACAAAGGACATCTAGGATTGGGTGACTTTTATTTTTATTTTTATTTTTTTTCTGGTATGGGAGAAGTAGTTTTTTTTCTTCTTCTTATGTGTCCCAACAGGCTCAAGATGTTCCAGATTTTTCCAATGATGTCCAGAGGAACACATGTAATTGATTTAAAAAAAAAAAAGAGAAGAAACTATAACACCCCCTTGCTCTTTTACTGCAGCATTTGCCCTGGATTTTGGCAGAAACCAACGACTCCTACGGCTCTATAGTCCTCTCTCAGGTGAATCTTCTCTTCCAGAAACTTCCGTCTTCAGTACGGCATTGTAGTTGAAAAGCTCCAGCCTCTGTGCTCTCCTGTCTCCTTCGTGCGTCGTAACCTTCATGCAATTTGGCTCCAGTGCCGACTTGGTACCCCATCTGGGGCTTGCGTTCGCATCTGTAAAATTTCCTTCTGACCTGCCCCCTTGGACTAAGGATAGTGAAAGACTTTTTGAGGTACCCCTCCCCCTTGAACCTGGCATCACGAGTTTCCAGCGGCATTTGTTTACATCTCTGCACCTTTATAATAAACGATGATGATGCCATGTTTCAACCCATAGGCGGGAATTGGGCAGAAGAAATGAATACCCATTGCAGGCCCTCCATCCCAGGAAGCCCTCCTCATCAGATGTCTCCGAGCTAGGACTGTATCACGGAGACAGTGAGGGGCTTCGTACGGGAAGCTGATCGGATATTTTTTTTTTTTTTAAGTGAAACTAAAAGAAGAAAAAAAAATCTGCAATTGATGAAGAGGCAATGTTTTAAGGAAAAAAGAAAGATTTAACCCTTACAATATAGAATGCATGGTGCTTTTAAACAGGAATTCATGTGACCTAGCTCAACCAATCAGCTGGCTGAGAATGTGCATGGCAATTATACATAAAGGCTCTTTTCCTCCACCCCCGACCCCCTCTCTTCCCCTTCTTTTTCCCTTTAGTCCACATCTATGATGAGGGACAAAAGTAAGAGAAAAGAAAAGAAAAAAAAATTACATTTTTTTTCCTAATTTGCACGAGACAAAGAAAATACGTTTTATACCACATAATGTGCCTTGCCTTCTAAAAAAAAAACGTATTAACTCTAATGAGATCAATGCACAGGTGTTGCTGCATGCTACTTGATGCGTGTATGGGGGAAAATAGGGGAAAAGAAAGAAAAAAAAAGGGTTGGGGAGGCATAGGGGTGGGGGATATAATGCCATTTTTTTTACAAAAAAAACAAAACAAAAACCGGAGCATGGGAGGGATAGGGGAACCGAAGTGGGATTTTTCAGTTAATTTTAATTACAAATTCAGATTCCTACACAAAATGCCCCTCCCCCTTCACGCTCCTTCAGGTGTGTTGTGAAGGCAGCTCCCTAAAATGCTTAGAACCTTCATTGGGTGGAGAATTCTGGGAATTGCAGTCTCAGCAAATCTGGACGGCCCCAGGTTGGAAGAAGCTGATGTACAGTAGGACGGTTGAAACCGCACTTGGACACTGAGGGTCTCAGTGAGATCGGCCCCACGACACCGTCTCTCTCTCTTCCAGAGCTCCTTCTTCAGAGTCTTAGGATCTGGGAATCTTAGGATCAGCTCAAGATCGCTGAAAGAAAGATATAAAAGATATGGGGAATATTTATTCTATTTTCACCCTGGCGAAAACAGATCGAGTAGGTTGGTTTGTTTTCCCCAAGGACCTGCCAAAACCCACCAGAGTGGAAGAAATGTGTCAGACGCGGAGGCTTTCTCAAACTGTGTGGTTTGGTTTGTGGTCTTTTGCCTGTCAGTTGCAAATCCATGTTAAGGTCACATAGCTCACTGG